TTAAACCCAGATTGAGTTTCAAAGCCCAAAACCTACAAAATAAGAGAGGTTAGATTTTTCAAAGCTCCTGCCGATAAGCTTTTTTGTGTTCTTTCAAGTTTTCGTGAATGGTGTCAAGTTCTCCCAATGATTCTCCTATCTGCTTTTGGCTCTCCAGGCATCTGAAGTTGCCAACAATCCACATGGTAGGAAAAGTTTAACCATGTAAGACAGCATGGGGCAGATAAAACACATATGCAAAAATATGAAGCAAAGGGTTACTGTTTATTCTTAATATTTACACGTCCATATTAGATTTTTCATATCAGTATTAACTGTTAGTAAAGCCTCATACATCAGCATATCAAATAGAACTGCTCTAGCCATTTGCCGTGTGAAAAACACATAACAACATGACAGAGCCTTGTATAGTGCCTGGCACACACAGACATACATATATTGTTGAATTAATCAATCAGTAGCGTTTGACATCTGCTAAACAGTCGTCCATTGAAAAAATGAAAAGTTCCTTCCGTTCCTGGTCTTCACAGAGATTTCTAGATAACCTTTATGTTTAAAATGCCATTTCCATGACTGCTCTATGCTATATTTAATATGCAAGAAATACAAATATTAGAAAATTGTTAAGAACAGATAAAATAAATACATTTAATTACTCTTAAATCACCTAGAGATAATAATTCTTTTTTTTTTAAATCTTCTCCTGAGGATATGCTTTATTGATTTGAGAGAGAGAGAGAGAAACATTAATTGGTTGCCTCCTTTATGTGCCCTGACCCAGGATCGAACCCACAACCTTTTTGTGTATGGGACGACACTCCAACTAACCAAGCCATCCCGCCAGGGTGAAATAGTAACTTTTATATTTGTTTATACATAATATTCCAAATTTCCAATGCCTATCCGTTCATATACACATGGAACATGGGTGTTTTTAAAAAATTAGGATTAGCCAAACCGGTTTGGCTCAGTGGATAGAGCGTCAGCCTATGGACTGAGGGGTCCTGGGTTCGATTCCGGTCAAGGGCATGTACCTTGGTTGCAGGCACATCCCCAGTAGGAGGTGTGCAGGAGGCAGCTGATTGATGTTTCTCTCTCATCTATGTTTCTAACTCTCTATTTCTCTCCCTTCCTCTCTGTAAAAAATCAATAAAAAATATTTTTTTAAAAATGAGGATTATATAAAAACCTATAACATTATTTTAATGCCTCATTTAGTATTTTATTGTATACTAGAGGCCCGATGCATGAAATTTGTGCAGGAGTAAGCCTTTGCAGGCATGGCTGCCTCGATCCCTCCCTTGCAGTTGCGGTGGCTATAGCCCTGGCTTCATCCCGGAAGGATGTCTGGTCTAATTAGCATATTATGCTTTTATTATTATAGATTTCTACTATAATTTATTTTATCACCTTAATATTGTTTAGACATTTATAATACAACTAGAGGCCCAGCACACAAAATCATGCGTGGTTAGGATCCGTAGGCCTAGCCTGTTCTGGGCCATGTTCTGCCCCACCACTGCCACCTATTGATTGGAGCCTGAGAGCCAGGAGGAGGGACCAAGAGGTTTGCCTTCCACTCACTGGCCAGTCCCCTTCGCACCACTCACCCCAGTTCCTCCATTCAATCGGAGCCTGCAGGCCGGAGGGAAGGACCAAGCAGCCTGCCTTCCTCCCGCTCGCCAGTCCCCAGTTCTGGCTCACTGCCAGTCCCCAGTCCACCAATCAATCGGAGCCTGAGAGCCAGGGGGAGGGACTAAGGGGTCTGCCTTCCACCAGCTTACCACCAATTGATTGGAGCCTGGCTGCCCTGATCAGTCAGGGTGTTGGGGGCAATCTGGCCCAGATCAGGCTGGTTCGCTGGCCACAGTGGGTGTCATAGTGACTGGACATTAGGTTGTTATGGTCGTGATGGTGTTACGGTCTCTGGTTTTAGATAGATAGATAGATAGATAGATAGATAGATAGATAGATAGATAGATAGATATAGATAGATAGACAGATAGATATACATTAAAATAAGTTTGTGATGAAGCATCCTGGTAGTAAAATCTTCTTACACATGTTCAGACATAGTCTTAGGGTAAATATTCCTAGGAGCTGGATTGCCAGAACTATGACTATGCACATTTTGTGGCTTTGGATCTTGTATACAGTTTACCCTGAAACAGCACGGGTTTGAACTGCATGGTTCAACTTATATGCAGATTTTTTGCAATAGATACTGTAAATGTATTTTCTCTTTCCTATGATTTTCTTAATAACATTTTCTTTACAGTAGCTTATATTATTATAAAAATACAGTATATGATACATATATATATCATACAAAATATGTGTTAATTGACTGTTTATATTATCAGTACAACTTCTAATCAACAGTAAAATATTAGCAATTAATTTTGGGGGAAGTCATAAAGCTACATGTGGATTTTTTGTCTGTGTAGAGGTTGAGGGGGTCAGCATTCCTAACCTTCATACTGTTCAAGAGCCAACTGTATTGCAAAATAATCTCCAGATAGTATATAAAATCTCACCTCATCTAAGTAGTATGTTTTTCCCCATACCTATAATAACATTAGATATTATATTTATTCTCAAATTTAGCCAATTTTGATGGTTAAAAAGTGTGTCTTGTTTTACTTTGCATTGCTTAAAGGGGATGGGTCACATATTAGGATATAAATAATATGCATAGCACTTTTAAGCATCAGCTCAAAGTGCTTAAAAACCAATAATACATAAAACCATCTTTGAGGAACTAATAACTGTTTAAAATATATCAGGATGGTTCAACTTAGGATGAAATTTGTGTTTTCTTTTTTTAATAAGCAAATTCACCTTATTGTCAGACACTTAAGAATGTCTTAAATGTGCATAGTCTCTCTTTATCTCATGGCCCACTTGAGCTTTGCTTTAAACGTGTGTGCACATGTGTACAGATGTATGTGTGTATACATATGCACATCCATCCATCCATATGCACATATCAATGTATATGTACACACACGGGCAGATAGTAGACCTTGCATTTTTCTCTAGTCTCAGTAAATCCGCTGAGATGCCATGAGTTACACTTGCTCTGTCCCATAAGTACGACAGGCTTGCTCTGGCTGTGTGAGGCGGGCACAGCCCACACAGCCATCATAACTGACATCTGTGGGCAAGGCGCCAAGGTACACCTCAGTCACGTGGGCCTGCTGGAGGATGCTCTCTCAGGCACCTGCTTCAACGGTGTGAGTTCAGCCTGTGGGTTTGCCTTGATTGATGTTGGTATAACTGCTTCGCATTCTCTGTGGGTGAAGGGAAGTGGGCTCGGCTCACTACAGTTGTGGTCCCCTGCACTTCCACTTGATATCACACCAGGAAGAGCAAATTACAGAGGCAGGCGCATGCGCCTGCAGGCTCTCCACGCCCTCACTGACCCAACAAAGAGGCACCCAGTCTTAAAATAAAACAACAAAAAAGGCTTTGAAAACCAGGAAACTAGCAAGTGAAGGAAGCATCTGTCTCTTTCATTCTGAAAAAATCTCTCCCATGGAGCACACACAAAGGCACACACACATGTCACCACCACCACCACCACTGGAGGACTGCTGATGGTGCTACTTCCAGGCCTTTTCAGAGACTTTTAATTTTTATTAACTAAGTGAATTTGTTTCTTGCCCAAACTATCACAGAACTCATAAAGTCATTCTGTCCCACAAAAAAATGGGGGGAGGAGGAGAGGAAATGCCTACTTGAGTAAGCTTCACAACTTTCAACAAGGTTCAACCTACCATAAAAAATGGTGTAATAAATCATGTCCACGTGGATAGCTTTTCATCTTTTCACATCAATTTCTTATTTTCAAAACAAACATTAAGTCTGCTAAGGTAAAAACCCAATTTTGGATCTTTGCTACCCCACAGTCAAACCTAGTCGGCCATGCATGTCCCCAGATGAATGATCTGACAAGACTCCTGGCTTCAATCATCCTCACACTGACCTTACCTTTCAGTCTCCTTTACTATGAAATTTGATGCAAAAACCATAATTTTGGAAAAAACTGATAGCGATAAAATTCAAGCAAAAAAAATATATATACCTGTATATCTTATTTAACAAAGCATATGCAAAAAAATAAATCACCAATTGGATTCCAAAACATTTCTGTCTCTTAAAATTACCCCATACTACCCAGGGAAGGGAGCTGTAGAAATTCTAGGGGGAAAAAATGGAATCATTGTATTCAGTTGAACTATGAAAAATTGCCATTTTTGTACAACTGAAATACTGCCAACTTCACATGGATCATCCTAAATGTTTCCTTAGCTTTAAACATGCCACAATTCTTTTGGTGATTTGGACAAAAATGCTGATAAAATACAGAGAATCTTCATATTCTTCATCCTTCATTTTCACTTCCCCTCTTCACCTTCTTCCCTCTTTCACTTCATCCCACCTCCCAAGGGTATCAGATGAAAGCAGACCAGAATCTGGGTTTGGGCCCAATTTCAAGGTCCAGAGGTAGACCTATACTTCTAGTTATAAATTGTTTCAAAAGTAGGACTCTAAAAATAATATTTTCTTCTCGCATGTCTTCTGTTCAGGGACCATTTATCCTAATAGTGACATTCACTCATCCAAGGGGGGTTTAAGACAGCACTTGAAAATGCAAGTTTTGAACACTATAACTGAGCTGATCACAACTCATTTGTTACATTTTACCCCAATTTTTTCCCACTGGTCCTAGAACTGCCTTCCCATTTTCTAGCCACCTTTCCTTCTTCTTCTTAAGAAGCTTTTCACTGGAACTCAGGAATTTTCCAGACACCTGCATGAAGTATGAGAAGAAATTACTGAATTGCTACCCTTTACTATTTTGAGACAAGAGTGTGCATTTAAGTGCAATATCCACCCATCTTTGCAGGAAGTAGAAAAATAGGCGGAAAAACTTGCAGTTCTCAACTACATATATATATAATAACCAGGAAGCCCCTGCCCCCCACATGGTGTGGCAGCCAAATGTGTGCTGGAACCTTCTGATTGATGTCAAAGGTCAAACATCAGAGCGAAAAGATGCCAACTGAATGTAAAAATGTAGAAAAAAATCCTTTGAAATGTTAAAGAGCCTGTGAGCATAGGGTGCTTATTAACTGCTGCCTTCAATGACAATGAAAGCCTAACACAAACGAAATTTAAACCTACTTTCAAGAAAATGTATTAACTGATGTAGTGCTCTCATTCCTGTACCTTCCCGTCCATGTAGATTCTGAGTATCTTCAGTCCACAGGGTTATCATCAGTCTGATTTTGAATGTACATGGGATGGGAATGGGGCGACGGAAACTTTAGGAGCTTAGATTCAAAATTACAAAATCATGACCCAGCCAAAAGAAAAGCAGGGGTTTACCTAATATGAACTAAATTACAAGATTTTTCTCTCTTTAGTAATGTCTCCCTTAACAGCTCCGTTTCTATTGCATTATTCCCTTACAGACACTGTAAATTGTATACTGCAAGACAGAAACAAGAATATGGGAACCCCAGACACAAGTGCCCTCATTGTCCTTAGTCACACAAGTGTCTATCTAATTTTATAACATGGTCAATGAGCCTTTAAATAATTGGTATCAATTCACCTATGATACAGAGCAACTGAAAATTACAATAATGGCTAATGTGTGTAGCAATTCCACTAGGTAAGTACGCAGCTCTCTTTTAAGAATGTCGGATATGCTATGTCACTTAATGCTCTTTCCAGCAACCACATGAGGTGAAGAACCACATTCCCATTTTACACATGAGGGAACTAAGACTCAGAAAAGTAACTTGCCCAAATTGACAAAGCTGGTGGTAAAGCTACAAGTCAAACCCAGTTCTTCCTCATCCCATCTTCCTCATCTACCTGTTCTCTCCTGAACTCCTCCTGTAGAGGCCAATCAAGAACTAACTGTAAGGATGGGAGGTGCGGACTCTAGTAAGAGGTACACCCCCTGCCTTGGCCCACTCATGACAGATATGGGATAGCTGTTACTCAGCCTTAGCTGATATCTACCCATGGGAACATGCAGTTCCAGGGAAGCCAGGACTTCTGGCTTATATGAAAAAACTAATCAGATTTTTATATAACTTTAAAAAAAATATCGGTAGTTGGTTCTTTAAACATACAAACACACACATACACACAGACTGCCTTGTATGGGCAAACACAACATGTATAACAGCTAGATCAGGCTCTGTGAGCCATCAGTTTATGATATCTGCCCTACTCCACATCAGTTCCCATTTATTACAGCCACCAGGATGCCACGCTATCAATCAAGTCCAAAAGTTCCAACAGAGTCTTTATTAATTTATATTAGGGTTCCATACACTTGGCAAGTCAAAATTTCAAAACTCTCCTTAACACTAGGAATAGTCTCAATGGACTGAAGAGAGGCATATGTTTTAACAACAGAAGCATCTATCTTATCACATGTTCAGTACCTGCAAATGAACAATAAAATACCATCACAGCCAATAAACAGGCAAGTCTAATAGCAGTGCCAAGAGCCCCTGGGTGCCATTAGTCCATGCTTTCCAGCTCTACAAACCAGGAAAAATTTCCAAAAGGTAGATCACTCAGGCCAAAAGAACCTGCAGGAACGGCTATCCCCATAACCTTTCCTGTCCCACTTTGCCCTTCAAGTCTGATGATCTGGCGGTTCTGGAACTCTTCCGAGAAGAGGTAAGACTCACTCTGCCAGCCCCAGCTGTTCAGAGCGCAGCCCAATCTGTTCCATACAGTTGGCTGTATTATAACAGTAATGCGACTGCAATTCACCTTCATTTGCTGCAAAGATCATTAACTATCCCTCGGAGAGATACGGCATTGAAGGAAGAGAGTGCCCGAGGCATAATAAATGGGAGTCTCTGGGTAACATAGTTCAAAAAGGTAAGATGATGCCAGCGAGGCCACCTGACAGTTTCTATAGTAGAGAAAAGGGAAGAAAACAAGGGCAGGAGGGATGGGACATCAGAAAGAGAAAAGCAAAGCAAATGTGCCCGGCAAACATGTATGTTCAGGTGAAGAGAGAATAGAGAGGACAAAGAGAAAAAATTAAAATAAGGACAACAGGACATTTAGTGTTAAATCACAGTAGAGACATGATTCTACTTGCCTGGTAGCTCAAACATTCTACTATAGAACTGGAAGTAAATTTGGGCTGAGAGTGAGAACAGAGAAAATGAATTACAATTCATTTCCTTACAGAGGAAAAATGCAATATTCTAGACAATTCTTAGTAATGTAAAACATGGCGAATTCAGTGAAACTTGTCATGTATCTGAAACCAGATCATGTATCTGGCCTCCCATTCATAAACTGCTCAATTACAGTGTACAGTAGGTGTGTTTCTTCATTCAATTCATAAATTCAGTTATTAAAGTCTTATGTCAGTCTAATTTGAATCTGTTCTCCAACCACTCACTCTATCTTTCCGTCCAATAAACCAGCACCATAAAAGCATCCAGGGATCAGGGAAAATGTTCCTTCATAAAAGTTCTGCATGTTACATAAATACCTGGAAGTTCTTCAGTGATAATGAGAGCATTGAAATCAATACTTGCTCTGAGTTACAATGGTTTGTACTAATCTAAACCAGATCCCAGTCAATAATGGATAGATAATTGGTGGCTAAGTGGGAATTGTATGGGCAGACCTGATCTCCTAAGAATTTACTTTCTTTTTCCATCACCATTTACCCCTATACCCTCTTCCACCTCCACCTACCACCTTGCCCTCCCCTCCAATCACTACCCTGTTGCCAGTGCTAATGAGTTTTCTTTTCTGCTCAATCCTTCCACCTCCCTCATCCACCCCCAGCTGTCAGCCTGCTCTCTATCTATGAGTCTATCTCTATTTTGTTCATTAGTTCAGTTTGCTCATTAGCTTCTACATATGAATGACTACACAAATTTTTTTAAAAAACAAAACCAATAGGTCCATCATCTACATCTTCTTTATTGTTTTAAACTTCTTTTCCTTAAACTTATCTATCGGTAGAACAGTGGTTCCCAGCTGGGGCAATTCTGTCTTCCATGGCACTTTTTAGATTGTACTCTGAGGATATGGGTGCTACTGGCAATTAGTGGGGAGAAGTCAGAGTGCTACTACATTCCACAATACACAGGCAGCCCCCTATAATTCAGAATTAACAGCTCAGAATGTCAATAGTGCAGAGGCTGAGAAACCTGTCAGAGAGTTCTTTCAGGGATTGAACCACCTCTGTTGATATTCTCTATGGTTTTCAGAAGTAGTAGAGCAGAAGGAGTTTCTAAATGACATCTTGCTATCATTAAAATACCTCTCTCCACGTAGTAACGTTTGACATAAATGAAAAGAAAGGCAAGGGGCAGACATTTAAATCTAATTTAGAATTACATTGGAACCCTGGTAAATCCTATTATAGCACCAAACTTTGCATAAGGCTCCAACCAGTGATTCCATTACTAAAATGTCAAAAATGACTGCAATCGTCTAATTAAATTCACCTAGAACGTAGCTTTAAAGCATATGAACCCAAAGGCAGCAAAAAAGAAAAAAAAGGATTCATATGTATAAAATGGAAAAACAGCCTTTGCCACCCCTTGGGGACACACATACACCCGTCCATACCCCAACCAGAAGTCTAAGTTAAAGCTCTTAAGTGGGCTTTGAACAAAAGAACCTCGCCTGATTTAGGGGGGACAGGGAGGAAGAAGGAGATTTGGGACTTAACCCTTTCCTGAAAGAAGAGAGACAATCCCCGCAATCACACCTGGAGACTAATTAACATTCTTTGATGTACTCATCTGTCCTCGGGCCAAGGGCTCAGTGGAGTTCCTAACATTTATAGCGCTTGGTAAAAAATGATTTGCCGTGAGGTAATTTAGTGTGAGATCAGGTCACCTCCCCATCTTGCCAAATAAACAGAACTGCCAAGGATCCCTTCCTGTTGCTTCAGCCTTCAGACTGATGTGGTTGCTCACCTGGCGGGCTCTCTCCTTCCCATTGATCCTCACTCATTTCCTTGGGGTTTTAAGTGTGTGTGGCAGGTACAGGAAGGCCTGACGTGCTCCGGCTCTTTGGCTTTCCTGGATTCTTCTTGGCAGTCACACTTGGACTCAACAGCTCCCAGGAAGAAAAAAGCAACAGGGAGGTGCAGTCCTTCACAAGGATAGAGCTGTGCCTTCCCAGCCCAAGGAGAACATGCCCTGCCCTGTCAGGATGGGGAAATCACTTTTGAAGCTGAGCCCAGGCCTCCCCAGTGCAGACCATCCACCAGCTATTGTTCCGGTGCAGACTTCCACTTGACACAATAGAGACACAATGACAAAGGAATTCATTCACTGACTATTGAATGCTTGCCATACATAAGGTACTGGGAGCAGAGAAAATGGACTGGGGAAAAGTATTGTCCTCAGAGTAGGAGAAAATAGTCCAAAGGGAATTTTAGTCGAAAAGACTATTTTGGGGGGGGGAGGGGCTAAATTTCCCTCTTATGTAGGAAACACAGAATATGAATTTGGTAACAATTTATTAAATTGTCCATGTGTATAACTGACAGGAAAAACATGGATTTGATGTTGTTACAGTCCTAGCCACTCCTGAGAGCTAACCCCAAAGCTGCCTTTTAAAATCACTGTTGACAGAATCTCTTACTAGGATGATGGAGATAACAGCAGGTTATTAATCCCTAGTTTTAAAAAGGAGACAACTTAGGAGAAGGGGAACTGGATCATTTCTACTGAAACCAGGTCAATTAAAGAAAGCTTTGCTAGCCAATACACTTATACCACTGGAATGTATTAA